AGCAGGTACTATTTGGGTGGTGGATCATTCTCAGCACTGCAGTAACACTGATGTGGTGGTGATGTGTTAGTGTGTGTTGTGCTGGTGTGAGTGGATCAGACTCAGCAGTGCTGCTGGAGTTTTTAAACACCTCAGTGTCACTGCTGGACTGAGAATAGTCCACCAACCAAAAACATCCAGCCAACAGCGTCCTGTGGGCAGCGTCCTGTGACCACTGATGAAGGACTAGAGGATGACCAACACAAACTGTGCAGCAGCAGATGAGCTATCATCTCTGGCTTTAAATGTACAAGGTGGATTGACAAGGTAGGAGTGTCTAATAGAGTGGACAGTGAGTGTTTAAAAACTCCAGCAGCACTGCTGCGTCTTTTTGTTGTTTGGAGCACTTTAGCTCCGCCCACTCTCACAGAACATATAAGGAGTGTTTCAGATCTGAGTGCTTTTTGAATGAAGCATAATACGACAGTCAATCAGAACAGAGCTCATTTACAGTCATTTATCACTCTTAAAGGCGCAGTAACAAAATCAGCCTGTTTAATTCTAAAGGTTAAAGAGAGCATAGAAAATAGTCATGTAAAAGGAATTACGATCAATTTTTGTACCTAAAAGAACATTTAAGTTATATGTGGGCCTGAAAGGAAAAAATAAAATACAAAAATAATTTAAGATACGGACCCTTTAAGCGTTACCAATATCACATGACTCTGATATTATTGTGAATCCCTACTTAAGAGTTTAAAGTGGCTAAAGAGATCATGTGAACTATACGGTTAATGTAAAGAAAAGCAGAGAAGTGGTACTATTACATGCAGTAATGAATGGAGGACACCGTCCCGACTTTCTGAGTAGGAATTCACAGCTGATGAGACGTTTTCTAAAACCTGTCTTAGTTAGAGGTCAGAAATTCTGAGTTAGGAGTTTTACTTACACACTGGATATTTTCAATGCATTTCCCCATATGTTCCCTTCAGTACCTGCCCATTAGTTTGTTTGGAGTCAATGGTAGTGATACACCACAGCATATTGTATTGTATTGTATCATATCAGATGCTATTGCAGTATTGCGACTGTTAGTGTGTTAGCTAGTGGCTAAAGCTTTAGGCCGGAACAAGATAAAGCCTGCTGGAGGCCAAGTATTTGTTTTTTGTGAGAGACAATGAGTCAGACAAGACCACAACATTTGCATGGACCTCCTACTTTGCTCAGGTCTGTTAAAGGAAACTAAAACAGCCAGAGACTCGGTACACAGCCTACAGCCGACACTACACAGTACCAGTGCATGTTCACCCAAATCCAGACTGACCACCACAGCAAACACAGCACATGAAAGATAGCACTCAGGGACACAAAGGTGTCGGATGTCAGCTAGAATTACAATGCAAAGACGTGTGTGTATTCGACTGAGTGCTGTAACATGGTCTCAAGTTTCCATCTGCCTGGAGGCAGGAATGAGTCAGACTGTTTTATTATTATTCGATAAATCAAACAGAGAGTCTAAGATGTTGTTCACTTGTCTATCTGGACTGCTCTGTCAATTAGAAAGCGGACCTCAGCCTCTAAAACCAGTGATACAGAACTACTACTAATAATAAAGTATTCAGAATTTACTATAAATGATTCATTATCTACTACAAATGAATCAGGAACTACTATAATGATTCAGTAACTACTACAAATTTTTCAGTATCTACTATAAATGATTGAGTAAATGATATAAATGATTCAGCATCTACTATTAATGATTCAGCATCTACTATAAATGATTCAGTAACTACTATAAATGATTCAGCATCTACTATCAATGAATCACAACCTACTATGAAACTAATACACTTGCATAACATTATGACCACCTCCTTGTTTCTACGCTCATTGTCCATTTTATCAGCTCCACTTACTATATAGGTGCACTTTGTAGTTCTGCAATTACAGACTGTAGTCCATCTGTCTCTCTGCATACTTTGTTAGCCCCCTTTTACATTGTTCTTCAGCGGTCAGGACCCCCATGGACCCTCACAGAGCAGGTACTATTTGGGTGGTGGATCATTCTCAGCACTGCAGTAACACTGATGTGGTGGTGGTGTGTTAGTGTGTGTTGTGCTGGTCTGAGTGGATCAGACTCAGCAGTGCTGCTGGAGTTTTTAAACATCTCAGTGTCACTGCTGGACTGAGAATAGTCCACCAACCAAAAACATCCAGCCAACAGCGTCCTGTGGGCAGCGTACACAAACTGTGCAGCAGCAGATGAGCTATCATCTCTGGCTTTAAATGTACAAGGTGGATTGACAAGGTAGGAGTGTCTAATAGAGTGGACAGTGAGTGTTTAAAAACTCCAGCAGCACTGCTGCGTCTTTTTGTTGTTTGGAGCACTTTAGCTCCGCCCACTCTCACAGAACATATAAGGAGTGTTTCAGATCTGAGTGCTTTTTGAATGAAGCATAATACGACAGTCAATCAGAACAGAGCTCATTTACAGTCATTTATCACTCTTAAAGGCGCAGTAACAAAATCAGCCTGTTTAATTCTAAAGGTTAAAGAGAGCATAGAAAATAGTCATGTAAAAGGAATTACGATCAATTTTTGTACCTAAAAGAACATTTAAGTTATATGTGGGCCTGAAAGGAAAAAATAAAATACAAAAATAATTTAAGATACGGACCCTTTAAGCGTTACCAATATCACATGACTCTGATATTATTGTGAATCCCTACTTAAGAGTTTAAAGTGGCTAAAGAGATCATGTGAACTATATGGTTAATGTAAAGAAAAGCAGAGAAGTGGTACTATTACATGCAGTATTGAGTGGAGGACACTGTCCCGACTTTCTGAGTAGGAATTCACAGCTGATGAGACGTTTTCTAAAACCTGTCTTAGTTAGAGGTCAGAAATTCTGAGTTAGGAGTTTTACTTACACACTGGATATTTTCAATGCATTTCCCCATATGTTCCCTTCAGTACCTGCCCATTAGTTTGTTTGGAGTCAGCGCTAGTGATACACCACAGCATATTGTATTGTATTGTATCATATCAGATGCTATTGCAGTATTGCGACTGTTAGTGTGTTAGCTAGTGGCTAAAGCTTTAGGCTGGAACAAGATAAAGCACATCTTTTGTTTCAAATATTATCCTTGCATAATGTTGAATGCTCTAATAAACTAAAATGGAAACATTGACCTTGTAATGTAAGGCACATTTTCAGTTACTCCCTATTTTTGTTGTATTAAAATATTATAGACTCAAGACACCACTGAGTTGAATTACGAATGTTACAATCCTAGTCAACAGGTTTTCCGCTCTTTTGCTCAGTTCAGGGAAGTGTGGTTATCAGTCGTATGCAAAAGATGTGACAAGACTGAAATTTCTTTGTAGAGACTCTCTTTACAGTGGTGATGATAGGAACCAGAGGTCGCCAAGACTACAGCACAAATATAGACATTTTATTTACCATCCAAAACCACCAATGAACCTACACGTGTCTTCTGAGCTTTAATATGTAATGTTGATGATGGTAAAAAAAAAAGTTCTTTGGATACTATTTTGTCATTCACTCAATATGTCAATTATTTAATATTTTGAGAACATATATCAGTATTGTGAGTCAATCTTTGAGAACATAAGTCATTATTTGAAGACACTAAGCCAAATCTTTGAGAAAATAAGTTAGAATTTGTGGTATTAAGTCGACATTTGAGAATATGAGATTTTTTTTTTCTAGAAACTAAGTCAGAGAACAGAAACAGAAAGGATTTAAAAAAAACAGGTTTAGGATAAAATCTCTAAACAGTGTCTCAGATATCAGGCAGCAGAAACATTGCCAGGTCATGTAATATCTTCCTGTGAGGAAGCAATTAGAGGTGGACGTCTGGTTTCACCACCACTGGGACCACTGCGAAGCATTTCACATCGAATTATTTCTTCCCCTTTATCTGCATAACCTATCATCAACGATGTTCCTTATCAGCTACAGTAAAATTCCATTATCTGCATGCATTTCATATGAACCTTGGATATGTGGCCTATAGGCGCCTGGCAATCATAGGCCTACAGTACTGTGTAATGTTTACTTATTTGTTTGTTTTTATTCCAGTGTTTTCTGTACAAATACATGCTAAACGCCCAGATACGTTTGCCTTACGACCTGCATGTACCTCTTCAGTACGAATGGATCCTTCTCAAAACTATCCCAAAACAATGTCTCAGGCATCAGGAAGTGTATTCATAACCATTTTACATAATCATTCTCTGTTTAGATCTTATCCATTTAATTATACAGAAATTTTGAAAAGTTGGTGGAGTTCCCTTGTATTTGGACTATTCCTTCATTCTGAGTATGAAATATAACACTTGTGCTGCTCTTGAACCTGCAGCCTCGACATCTTCACCACTGTTGGGTCTGATGATTGCTCAGAATTCAGTTCTTCAACGTTCAAAACAAAAGAGCACATGGCACTGCACGGTGGAGTCATGGTTTATCGCTTATTACAAGTTAATAATGACCCCTTGGTTTGTTATTAAGCCATGGTTGTCCACACGAGAGGACACTGGTTACATTACAATGTGTGGAGGGTGATGGAAGTGTAGCTATCCGTTTAGAGGTAACAGACAAAGACATCATGGCGCATCTCTTGCACTTTCACTTTGTCCAAACCAAAAATAAGTCGTAAGTCGTTCGTGGTGGCTAACGTTCATTTCGGAATGAATAAACGGGGGTAAACGGGGTAAATGGGGCAGGTTGGCTTCGTGTAGCTGTTTATCAACCGCCATTAACCACTTCACACAGTTACAGGCTAACTTTGAGTTGAAAAGAAATAAACATCAGCTCAGCGCGAGGCTGGAGTGGCTTCTTGTTCGAATTTTTCCGTTCCACCGTTCGACCGAGGCGCCAGAATGTAACTGCTGTACCATGTAAGGTGGAACGGAAAAATTCGAGCAAGAAGCTGGCGAATAAGAAACTGACCTCAGCTCGGTTGCTTAGTTTAGTAGTCCCCATCTCTACTTACCCATCTTCAGCCTGCTTTGCTTCTCCAAAATTAGCCATGTCTCCTACCATCGTCCAAACACGAACTGGCTGGGTTTAACTGGCGCCACCGTTGCGGAGATGTTTCCTCAGGTTGAAGATGAATTTAACAACCAGGAGCATTCAAAACCCAGCAAGGTGAGCTCTCACACCAGCATCCACCTAAAGCTGTTCTTATCACGAACACTCGGCTTCTCGGCTTTGTGTGCATCTAACCCGCCTCCTCAACACACTGTAGATCCGCTCTCCTCACAAGGAAGGATTTCGAGCACGTTGGCAACTTGGAGTAAAAACGCTGCACAATACGACGCGTACAACTTACAACTGCTTCACCTTCATCGCCCAATCAAAACAATGTTGCCAGCTCGAGGCAAGGGGCGGAGTTAAAAGGCCCGCGCTTTTCCCCACAACAACCCATCAGCAGTTTCCCTCTCCTGTAACTGCAGGCCGGGAGTCACAGCTTCAGGGTCCAGGTTAAATAACCTTTGTTGTTTAGAGAAGTCCAATACCTGGAAGCCAATTTCCTCCTGGTGTTTGTCTCTCCGTCTGACTTAGTATCTCAAAACAATGACGCATTCTCTTGAATTACTCCAATTATGACTTACACATTTTGACTTAGTATCTAAAAATAATGACTTATTTTCTCAAATTATAATTCACTATCTCAAACATATTAAATGAATGACTTATTTTCTCAAAGCCTTGAATTAGTGCCTCAAATTACTTAGATTTGACTTGGTATCTCAAAATACTGGCTTATTTTCTTAAAATATTAAATGAATAACTTATTTTCTCAAGGATTTGACTTAGTATCTCAAAATACTGACATTTCATTTATTTGTTGAAGGATTCAGCTTAGTATCTTAAAATAATGACTTATTTTCTTAAAGATTTGGCCTAGTATCTTTAAAAAAGACCTTTTTTAGCACATTTTGACTTAGTATTTCAAAATGCTGACATATTTTCTCAAAATATTAAATGAATACCTTATTTCTTCAAAAATTTCCCTTAGTATCTCACAATACTGACTTATTTTCCCAAAATATTAAATTAATAACTTATTTTCTCAAGGATTTGACTTAGTATCTATAAATAATGATTTATTTTTTGACTTAGTATCTAGAAAAAAATGCTTATTTTCTCAAATTTCAACTTAGTATCTTGAAATAATGGCCTATTTTTTCAAAATATAAAATGACTAAATTAGTACCTCGAATTATGACATATTTTCTCAAAGATTTGACTTTTCACAAATTTTGACTTACTATTTCAAAATACTGACTTATTTTCTCAAAATATTAAATGAATAACTTATTAGCTCAAGGATTTGACTCAGTATCTTAAAATGATGACTTATTTTATCAAAGTTTGACTTAGAGTCTTAAAACAATGACTTATTTTCTTACATTTTAACTTACTACATCAAAATACTGACTTATTTTTTGAAAATATTAAAGAAATGACTTCTTTAGTCTTTAAATAGTACCTTGAATTATGACTTATTTCTCAAAGAGTTGACCTGTTATTTTAAAATAATGATTAAGTTTCTCAGATTTTGACTTAGTATCCCATTTTACTGACTTATTTTCTCAAAATATTCAATGAATGACTTATTTTCTCTCATTTTCTTTGACCTACTATCTTATAATGAAGACTTATTTTCCAAAAAATACTTTTTTTCTTCAAAATTCACTTAGCATCTTGAAATAATAATGACATTTTCTCAAAGTCTTAAATTAGTACCTATAAACATGACTTACCTATTTATTTGACTTGGTATCTCAAAGTACTGATTTATTTTCTCAAAATATTGACTAGTATTTCGAAATAATGACTTTATTCTACTTACTTTAAGTTTTGACTTAGTATTTCAAAATAATTACTTGTATCAATATCTCAAATACTTTTGCAATATCACAATGTAATGACATATTCTTGAGATTTATCAGGTGTATCATAAGGGGTAACACAGAAATGTGCAACGCTCGGCGTTCACAGAACTGACACTGACAACAAGTGCAAAAGGTTAATAAAGAGTATAAAATCAAGTGAAACTAACTGACCCAAAATTCTTATAATACACTGGAAAAAATTCAAAAGTACACTAACCTATATCAACACAATGCAGCTTTTCACTTTTCTTTTAGCCTCTTTTTAGACTCTGCAGGACTTTGTGACAGAACAGATCTCACTTCTGTTCTCTGTGACAGAACAGATCTCACTTCTGTGGTGGAGCCCTAAAACTGCTGAGTCATCTCACTACGTCCAGAGCCTAACTGACAGTTTATTCTCCAGTTCTCCAAATCACTCACTCTGATATCTGTGAAAGCGCAGTAGAAAGAGATAAAGGCCTATCCACACCAGAGCATACTGTACACGTGGTTCTTCAGGTCAAGCTCTAAGGTTGACAATGATATTAGAAGTTAGGCCTTAACAGGGCCTAAAAACACAGAACTGTACATCTCTGTTCATCACTGCCCGAAATGTCATCATCTTAGAATGAGAATCGTCAGCTACAGTCCCAGACGCCCTGATTTAGGACGTTTTTGGCGGGAATGTGTCCTGTGGCCAAGTTTGAGCAGCTAGTTCTTCACTTTCAACACTAGGTGTTGCTACACTACAAGCTGTACGTTCCAACCAAAGTGAAACCCACAGTCTTCATTCATAATCAAAAAAGAAATATGATGTTTTGGTTATCCATAGAGTTCATACTATTTCAGTGTTAACACATCATACATATATACATTTACAACTATATATATGTATATATATATATATATATATATATATATATATATATATATATATATATATATGTATATGTTGTAAATGTTTTTAACAGAGTTGTTTTCCCAGTAAGTCAATATTCCGAGTCAAATCGATTTATTTGTAATTCTATATTCCTTCCAGTGGGCTTTTGTAGACAACTAGGGTATGGAGCATGCACCATGTATTCATACAGTGGGCCTGTCTTTTGACATAAGGCTAAATATTTACTCTTATTTGCATGTATGTGTGTAATTATTGTCATATAGAAATATGTAAGTAATGCATATATAATATGAATGCATACAACATATACAGTACAGTGCAAGAGTTATAGGGCATCTAGGAAAATGATTGTGAAGGTACATATTTGGGCATTTAGCATTTATTTGTTCAAAAGCACTAACATAAAGGATAAAAGCAAACAAATAAATAAACAGGACACAGTACTGTAGGCCTACGACTGTCAGGCACATATAGGCCGAGTTTCATATGAAGTGCATGCCAATCATATGCATGTATATACAGAACATAAATTGCCTCATACAATGAGACTGGAATACCATTTACTGGAAAATCAGTTTCTGAAATTCCGATGGGATTCAGATTTTGAAAGAAGACTGTAGTAATACAACAAGAAATCTATAATAGCGATCTATAATAATGTCACCACTGTATAATATTCCTACTCCACTGTTTTATGCTTGTGTAGCATGCTGTATTAATCTACAGGTTGAGTCAAAAAGATTCATCTGATTTCAAAGTGCCATATTTTTCCAACCGTGAGGCGCACATACCAATTGAAAAAGGGGGTCATAGAGTTTCTGACTGTCAGTGGAAGATGGCTCCCTTCAGTCTATGAGGAGATGAGACCCCTGAGCAGAAAGCATTCTGCGTTCTCCACTTCAATAAGAGTGAATCCGTCATAACTGTGCAGTGTGATTTTCATCAGCAGTGAAGCTCCAACAGCTCAGAGCGTTCGTCGTTGGTTCCACAACACTGGATGATCTCCGAAATCACACTGAAAGAGCGAGACATGCTCAATCCAGTATGGGATGAATTTGACTATGGTGTTGATGTTGTCCGTACAGCTGGAGGAGGTTCATACTGAGCACTTGTAAAATTACATAATAAACATTATGCTCATTTAAACCATTTACAGTTTACTGCATTGTTCTGTAATGATTTACAAGTGAAATGAATCATTTTGAAATGATAAATTATCTATAAATAATGTATTATAATGAAATGATAATAAATCTTTTGAATCACCCTGTATAAGTATAACTGGCTGAACTTACTGTAAGACTCTTCAGGAATCCTGTAGAAATTCCTGCAGCATTCCTGTAGTTTATAAGGAACAACCCTGATGACAGATTCTGCTGTTAAAGGGGAAGTAGTAGCATCAAGGCTTAATAACATGCCAAGGGGTCATTATTAACTTGTAATAAGCAATAAACCATGACTCCACCGTGCAGTGCCATGTGCTCTTCCAACGTTGAAGAACAGAATTCTGAGCAATCATCAGACCCAATGGTGGTGAAGATGTCGAGGCTGCAGGTTCAAGAGCAGCACAAATGTTATATTTCATACTCAGAATGAAGGAATAGTCTTAATACAGGGGAACTCCACCAACTTTTCAAAATTTCTGTATAATTGAATAGATAAGATGTAAACAGAAAATGATTACGTAAAATGGTTATGAATACACTTCCTGATGCCTGAGACATTGTTTTGGGATAGTTTTGAGAAGGATCTATTCGGACTGAAGAGGTACATGCAGGTCGGAAGATATATATATTTGGTCATTTAGCTTGTATTTGTTTAAAAAACATTGGAAAAAACAAACAAATAAGTAAACAGTACACAGTACTGTGGGCCTACGACTGTCAGGCGCCTATAGGTCACGTATCCAAGTTTCATGTGAAATGCATGCAGATAATGGAAAGCAAATGTATTCTTAATACAAGATTTCATATACAGAACACAAATAACCTCACACAGTGAGACTGGACTGGTGTTTACTACTGTAATCATTTCATCTCTGTATAATATTCATACACCACTGTCTTACAGTAAGCTATAATGCATGTGTTGCATGCTGTATTAATGTATAACTGTGTGAATTTACTGTAAGACTCTTTAGGAATCCTGTAGAAATTCCTGCAGGATTCCTGTAGCTGATAAGGAAGATCCCTAATGATAGGTTCTGCAGTTAAAGTGGACGTGGTGTCATGTGAAATGCTTCATTCCAGTGACAGTGGAGGTGATAGGAACCAGACATCCATCTCTAAAAGCTCCCTCATATCTGAGTCTTTACAATCAACCGTTTTACACCAAACCACACTGAATGGCTGCATCTTAACAATTGAATGATGTAGAAAAATTGGTGGAATTCCCCTTTTAATCAAATTAGACCAGAGTAAGGTGATTTGGCCTCCCTCTGAGAAGCCTGCAGTACAATCTTAGGCCACAGTGGGTCACATAGGCACAAATACAGTGCGGCCTTTTATATTTCCATCCACTTCTTCAGTCATAGTGCTGCTGATGATAATGTAGTTGAGGACAGAAAATAAAACC